TTATTGTTCTTTCTTACTTGCATGATAAGTTCAATTATTTTCATTTGTTCCTTTATTTTATTATTATTTTTTTTTACTCAGGAAAAAAATGTACCATTCACATTTCTTTTTTTTTTAAAGCAAATGACGAAGACCCAGCTTACTAGCTTTTAAAAACTAAGCTAAAAACAATTGTCAAAACTTATACTAAGTTGCCAGCATTCATGCACAACGAGAAAGCCTTCTTAAATTTTTATTCAACTAGAAATGCATTACCATTAATATATTAATATCTTTAATTATAAACTACTGAAAAAAAATCCAGTATACAATCTTGTCCTAGCAGTACTCAAAAGTCAAGACTCACCTTGGATTACATTTATTTAAAAAGAAAAGTGCATATAGATACTATAACAGTTTTAAAAACACACACAAAAAAATGGTCCTATCGTGTGGTCCCAACAATAAACTCAAAAGTCTGTGACAAATATGGGCTCAGATGAGCTGTGTATAAATATATTAGATTAGATACAATTATACTGGAAGTTGAGTTTGCTTGAAATCTTAAAAAAAAAGTTCCTGTTAATGTTAAAATGGTGCATGTTATAGTTCAACATTTGTGTAAAATGTGGGCATTGAATTACTTGTTATCCAAGTGTAGCACTATTTTTTTTTTACCATTTATTGTTAAGGACTGTAACTGACAGTCTTCTTCAGTCTTCTACTCTTTATTGACCATTCTCAACATTTTGTAGTGATTTTTATGCCATTTACTATTTTAATAGAAGTTGATATAGATTTGAAGTTGCCCATCCCACTGCTGCCAAATAATGTTGCAAAGAATGAAGGGGTTGCCCTGTGAACTAGTGACCCAGATGAAGTAAATCTTATATCAAATGAAGAAAATAATCCAGCTCTGAATAATAGAAATCCACTGAAAGCAGAGAAAAATGAGCATGCATCTCAGTTTCTGCTTCCTTGGGGACCCCCGCTTTGGTTCCCAAAGAAGTCTTTAAATCTGTGTTCAAAGAAGTTGAACAAAAATGAGTTTATTACACCAGAAAATTCTCTGACGACATCATCCGGATTGTGGAATGTGAAACCAAACTAAAACAGAGTATCAAAATGACTTACACCTCCTCCTCCACCATTTAATCCTTCTTAGCTACACTTGTCATAGATGTCCCGTTTTTTAGCATCTGATAATACCTTGTATGCCACAGCTACTTGATTGAATTTTCTCTGTTGCCTTTTTTTCCCCATTTTTTATTGGTGCATTATAGTTGTGCATGTGATGGGATTTGTTGTCACATATTCATACATGGACACAATATACCAATATAATTTGGCCAGCACCATTCCCACGCCTTTATTTTCAGAATTTTTATCTGGATGCAACTGTAGTGCCAGTTTCTGATATGTCTTTTTGATATCTTTGGATGAGGCATTGTCTCTGCACTCCATGTTTTAACGTAGTAATCCACCATGTTTTAACAGATTGTTGGAAAAAGTCCCAGGCCACATTGTCCAGTTTAGGACTGGGTAGGGCTGCTGGCTGAGCTTTTCATGGTCTTCAAGGCTGTGCTGGTTTGGTGGCAGCAAAAGTTCTTTTCTTATTTTTTTCCTTTTAAGTGGCACAAAAATTTCAAGTTGTGCCTTTTTCTTTCTAGTTAATTTCCCTAATAATTTTGTATGAATGTTTTATATATTGTGCAATGAATATTTTGCTGCTTTTTTGACTCTGCAATTTTAAGCCTTTTCTTTCTTTCTTTCTTTTTAACCAGTTGAAATCTTCAGTGTTTTAGGTAAAAAATCATAATGCTCATCAGTAATTTCAAGTTAGCTCTTCTCTTCCATGAACTTTTAGCTTGTGACACAAACCTGTCCCTATGGAGATAACCAGATCAATATGGAATAGTGGGATAGAGCTTTTTATTCCTCAAATACTTTAGGAAATGTGCATTATGGGACTAAATTTATAATTAGATAACAGAGAAGCATAATTACCTACAAAAATTGAATGAACAAAATAGTAATTTTAAGGATTTCAAATAGGTTTGATAAATATTTTTGGTTGTATACTAAAATAAAAATACATATTCAAGCAATTGTACAGGAGATAGGGATATGTAGATGATTAAAAATCTTGATAAAATTTTTATCTTGTACAAAGCTGAGCAGCAAGAAAAGTGAAAGGAAATTTCACATGTAACTCAGAAATTACATTCAAGATCAATGTGAAGAGAACTAAATAGGGAAAAAAACACCAAAGAATTTTTCAGAGTGTGTTGGGAGTAGTTGTCTTTTTAGTGAGAAGACATACTTATTGATAAGTGGAAAAAATTATTAGGAACATAGGAGCAAGAAAATGACATGTAAGTTAAGGACAGCTGTCAAAAGAATTAATCTATTAAACCATCAGAAGAAAATAGTTTTTACTCAGTAGAAACTGGGTAAGAGAAATAGAAGATCAAAAGAAAAGTAAGAACGGTAAATGAAAATATGAGCCAAGTAATGTTGAATGCTGGTTCACCAAGAACACCTCTTGATAAGACTAAGTTGGTTAATGTGACAAAATTGTTGATGGTTACTGTAGTTTGGAGATGACTGGGCCTTAGTACTTAGTAGCCTTTCAGAAAGGGAAGGACAGAGATGAGATATTTATTGAGTGTGTTGGAGTAGTTGTCTTTTTAGTGAGAAGACATACTTAAAGGGATTTTCAATGAGGCAGGGCTTCTTGGTTATGGTCAAGTAAGGATCATGTTATAATAGTTTAGGAATATAAAGGAGAATTTGAGGGCAAAGGGTTCTGAGTTTTGGGATGTAAATCATCATTTGATATTTTCTGTTGAAGACTTAATAGGTTTTTCAGTAATTTTCTGGAATGAACCATAAATCATTTGTTTTCATGGCGTTAATCTTTCTGGATAAGAGTATCCCATGGAACAATAATCTTATGTTGTTGAATAGTAAAGCCATGTTAATGTAGGCAATGAACTGTGCGAATGATTTCCATTCTTTGAGGACAGAGAAAATTGCATTTGTGGGCTTGGAGAGCACGCCTTCACTCTCTTTTATTTATGGTTTTATTACACTACTAGATTTGTTTTGCTAGCATTTTATTTAGGATTTTTGCAATTATATTCATTAATAAGAGAGACCTGTTTTGTTCTCCTATGTTTTTTTTTTAAATTTTTTATTGTTGGTTGTTCAAAACATTACAAATTTCTTGACATATCATATTCCACACTTTGATTCAAGTGGGTTATGAACTCCCACCTTCACCCCATACACAGATTGCAGAATCACATCAGTTACACATCCATTGATTTACATATTGCCATACTAGTGTCTGTTGTGCTCTGCTGCCTTTCCCATCCTCCACCATCCCCCCTCCCCTCCCCTCCCCTCCTCTCTCTCTACCCCCTCCACTGTATAACCCTTTACTCAAACTAAAAAGTTTTTTCTCAGCAAAAGAAACAATAAGAGAGGTAAATAGGGAGCCTACACCCTGGGAACAAATCTTTACTCCTCACACTTCAGATAGAGCCCTAATATCCAGAGTATACAAAGAACTCAAAAAATTAGACAATAAGAGAACAAACAACCCAATCAACAAATGGGCCAAGGACCTGAACAGACACTTCTCAGAGGAGGACATACAGTCAATCAACAAGTACATGAAAAAATGCTCACCATCTCTAGCAGTCAGAGAAATGCAAATCAAAACCACCCTAAGATACCATCTCACTCCAGTAAGATTGGCAGCCATTAGGAAGTCAAACAACAACAAGTGCTGGCGAGGATGTGGGGAAAAGGGTACACTTGTACATTGCTGGTGGGACTGCAAATTGGTGCAGCCAATTTGGAAAGCAGTATGGAGATTTCTTGGAAAGCTGGGAATGGAGCCACCATTTGACCCAGCTATTCCCCTTCTTGGTCTATTCCCTAAAGACCTAAAAAGAGCATGCTACAGGGACACTGCTACATCGATGTTCATAGCAGCACAATTCACAATAGCAAGACTGTGGAACCAACCTAGATGCCCTTCAATAGACGAATGGATAAAAAAAAATGTGGCATTTATACACAATGGAGTATTACTCTGCATTAAAAAATGACAAAATCATAGAATTTGCAGGGAAATGGATGGCATTAGAGCAGATTATGCTAAGTGAAGCTGGCCAATCCCTAAAAAACAAATGCCAAATGTCTTCTTTGATATAAGGAGAGTAACTAAGAACAGAGTAGGGACGAAGAGCATGAGAAGAAGATTAACATTTAACAGGGATGAGAGGTGGGAGGGAAAGGGAGAGAGAAGGGAAATTGCTTGGAAATGGAAGGAGACTCTCCTATGTTTTTAAAATCTAGTTTTAGTGTTAGGCTGGCTTTGTTGAATTAATTCATCTCTCCTTCCCTCTCTCTCTGAAACATTTTTTTTTTTTTTTGTTCAGGATTTTCTCTTTGTTATGGACAGGTTTTATTTTTAAATTTTCTCTAGCTCATATTTCGTTATTTTTTTTAGTATGATTTAACTGGCTTTTGATTACCAAGGGTTGTTATATTTCTATTCCACTATGGTTATCTAGCCTTGTTACACATTTTATTATTGTTTTAAATATGTTTTGCATTTTCTGAGGATTTGAACCAGATGTGCATGGTTGTGTTATGACTTAGCTCTCATCTTGAACAACACTTGCCTTTTAAAATTAATCCTCCTTTTTCTTTTCTTCTTTTTCCTATCTCAGTTAAGTATATAGGTATCTTATATTCTGACCAGACAAAAATTAAGGAGAATTATATTTTCAGTTTCCCTTTATTTTTCTATTAGTTATCAATGTGCCATCTTCAGTAAAATATTGTAAACTATATTATCTATTCTAAGCGAATGGTGAACAGTCTTGGGTATTCTGTTTTGGTCCTTATAGTCTTTAATTTACTTTTAATATATACATGTAAAATAAAATAGACCTAATATGAAGGGGATCTTTTAATGAATTATTTCCCCTCCCCCAATATAGGAAGTTCCCAGATGGGTGCTACTATAGTAGATGCTTTGGATACCCTTTATATCATGGGACTTCATGATGAATTTCTAGATGGACAAAGATGGATTGAAGACAACCTTGATTTCAGTGTGGTGAGTATACAATTGATAATTAATCTCCTAGGTTGACTAGGAAAAGGCATATTTTTCTTTGCTATAGAACATAGCAGAATATTTGTATTTTTCCAAAATTCATATATTGAAACCTAATCATTAATGATGGAGCCCTTGGGAGGTGATTGAGACATCAGGATAAAGCCCTCCTGAATGAAATTAGTGCCCTTATAAAATAAGCCCCTGGAGAGCTGCCTTGCCCCTTCTACTTTGTGAGGACACAGTTAGAAGGTACCATCTATGAATCAGAAAGTGGGCACTCACCAGACACTGAATCTCTGACATCTATATCTTGGACTTCCAGAACTGTGAATTTCTGTTGTTTATTAGCTACTCAGTTTATAGTGTTTTGTTATAGTGGTGCCAGTGGTCTGTGAGGCTAAGCATGATAGTAGCAGTTTAAAGAAATGTTAATACTAAGTCCTCTTTCTTCTTTGGGGATCATCAGCTGTTACTTATTTTTTGCATAAAATACACACCTTTTGGTAGCATCTTTTTTTTTTTTTTACTTTTCTTGCCCTTATCATTTGAGGTATTGTGTAAGTGTGTTAGAGCAATAATTGGAGTGGGGAAAACAATGAATTAGATACATCAGGAAATTAAAAAGTGCTTTGTAAATAATAAGTGGGTTTTGGGTTTCTTTTTTCTTTAGAAAATATTTAATGATTTGGTACAACTCTAAGTTGTTATAATCAGGCTTACATGCATCCTTCCAATACTTTGCCTAGCACAATTAATTCTAGCTATGTGGCTCAGGAATTTTATTTATTCTTTTTAAACTTATGATAAAATAGTTATCTTATTGTAATATTATGAGGATTATTTGACATAATCTGATACATTTTGGATGCTTAGTGAAAAATCATTATTTTCATAAGACCAGTACCTAAAAGGCATGTGGGCTGTTTTGTCATATTCGCTGTTATATTCCATATTTCCATGTGTTTGCTGTGTTCCTTTTGACTCTAGTGTCCTTCACTTCTTCTCTTATGTTTTTCTCTGTGACACTCATTGATAGTTAAATTGTGATTTAAATCAATATTTATTTCTTTTCTAATGATTTTCCTTGTGCTAACCAGAAAAAACTGTTTATCTTCTATTATGTTATTCTAACATTAAAAATGCTGGATCTATTTATTGACATATCTTAATTAGAATAATTTTATTATCTGTTAGGTTTAGGTTTGGCTATGGGTGGCAGAAAAACCTAAAATAAAATAACTAAAACAAGATGTTTATATCTATTTCATGCAAGTCAGATACTGAGATGAAAAGTTCAGGGCTGCTTTGGATAGCTCCTTGGATCATCAAGATCTTAGGATCCTTTGTCTCAATTGCTCTATTAAATTCAGTATATATATAGCTTTGACCTCATTGGTATGAGATGGCTTCATAAGATCCAGGATCTTATCTACCTTCCAGATGGCATAAAGAAAGAAAAGAGAGGATAGATATGTAACTAATCTTTCAGAATACTTCTTGGGAGTTGGTTACTCTATTTTTGTGTCCATGCTGTTGGGTAGATTTTACTCATATGGTTCCATCTAACTACACAAAAGTTGAGAAATGTCGTGTTTTTTTCCCCCCTTTGTAGCTAGGCAGATTTTTTTTTTGTATATCTAGTATATAAAATTCCTACTATAAGGCCATAAGGATATATAGGAGATACGTGTGTGTATACATGCATATATGTGTGTGTGTATGTGTGTGTGTGTTTATTTTGTTTTGTTTTGTACCAGAGATTGAACCCAGTGCAATCAATCACTAATCTATATCCCCAGTCCTATTTTGTATTTTGTTTAAAGACAGTGTATCACTGAGTTGCTTAGCGCCTTGCTGTTGTGGAGGCTGGCTTTGAACTCATGATCCTCCTAGAGCTGCTGGGATTATAGTTGTGTGCCACCATGCCTGGCCAGCATATATTTTTTATTCCAAACCTTTTAAAGTTTTGCTTTTGTGTTTTATCTTTAATCCATATGGATTTTTTTTGTATGTAGTACAAATAGGCAACTATCAAGTGATATTAGCACCATTCATTTATACATAAATAACACCCTACTATTTATGTATGCCATTATTAGTCATATGTTGGTCATATTAATTTGTTCTTTTCCATTGTCTGTTTTACTTATCCCTTCTTCAATACTAAACTATCATAATATTTTTATAAGAAGTTAATATCTGTATCTGAATCATAATATCTAATCTTGGTCTGTGAGGAAATTATTTTAGTTCTCATTTTTTTCTTTTAAGTTCTGGAAACGTCTCTTGAAATTTTGATGAGGATTGCATTTAATTTATAGTTTAATTTGAAGAGAATTGGCATCTGTGTAATGTCAGATACTCCTGTTCATTTACATGGCAGCTTTATTATGTCTGATAATTTCCTTGAAAGATCATTGTACCAGTCAGGCTCGAAAAGGAAGCAGAAGTATACCATTTTTTTTTTTTTTTTCAAATAGAGAATTTTTTGTTTAGAATTGCTAGCCAAGTAATGGGGAACTAAAAAGGGAAAAAGTATTATGGTGTCTCCAGAAGTAGTAATTACAGGAAGCAGCTAACACATGTGGCTCTCTGAGAACTGTGGGAAGAGTTTGGAATCATTAAAATTTAGTAGCTTGAAACCTGAGGAGCCAGTACCCAGAGCTGCTCAGATGTGGCTGGTCTTTAGGAACTCTTAAAAGACTCTCTTGATGGTGAAACTCTGGCCTCTGAGGAGGATACCCTGTAAGTGCTTGGTATGTTTTACCAAGTGAGGGGTGGCCAAATGCCTGTAATCTTAGTAGCTCGGGATCAGGAGCCTGAGGCAGGAGGATTGGAGTTCAAAGCCAGACTCAGCAAGTTAGGGAGGCCCTAAGTAACTCAGTAAGACCCTGTCTCTAAATGAAATATAAAAAAAAGCACTGGGGATGTGGCTCAGTGGTTAAGTGCCTCTGGGTTCAATCACTGGTACCAAAAAAGAAAAAAAAAAAAAAAGAAAGAAAAGAAAAATAGGCACAGTGAGATTGGTTTGGGGATGTGTGTATATGACAGGATAATGCCTTGGAACCAACTGCCACTACTAGGGTGAAGAATCATGGCTTGTGTGATGCTGTTAGAAACTAGAAGTAAACAGGAAGGAGTAAGTCCCTTCTTCTTCCTCTAGTCTTGTATTTTGTTTTTATAATTGCCTAATGGTAGAGCCTAAACAGGAACCAGCTGGTGAAAGAGAAATCTATTTTCATTTCCTTTATATCAAAGTTAAAGAAGAATGAATTTGAACCTGAGAGAAAATAGTTGATGGTATAGTTGTTTTCTGTCCCTTTATTTTTAACCTATATCCTTATGTTTTAGCTAATTTGCACAGTGTGTATTTGAATTTTGTTATCTTTATGCAGTCTTTTATTTTAACAATTAAATTTGAAATATTTACATTTATTATGATAAAATATAATTAGGGTTGGGTTTTCCATCTTTGTTTTGCTACTTACATTACAGTATTATACTTTTCATTTAATTTTATTTTCTGTTGTCTTTTCATAATTTGAATTAAATTGCTTTTTTTAAAAAATTATTTTTTAGGTTTAGGTGGATACAATATTTTTATTTTATTTTTATGTGATGCTGAGGATTGAATTCAGTGCTTCATGCATGCTAGGTGAGCAATATACCACTGAGCCACAATCCCAGCCCTAAATTACTTTTTTGTCCCTTTTCCTCAACTAGATTGACATTAGACTTTCCACTTCCATCCATTTTGGGGTTACCCTTTAAATTTTACTACTTATCAAAGGTTGAAATTAATCAATTTTTTAATCCTTCTGTAGGACATAAGAATCTTCGAATGCAGCTCAACTCCTTCTTATGTGTAATTGTTTATTTGGTCCCAATTTATATTTCAAACTGCAGATTAAGTAATGATAAAATAGGTAATTTATCATTAATGCCTCTTCTACAACAGACAGTGTTCTGAATTCTGTGGATATGTAATTAACAGAAACAGAATCTTGCCAGTTCCAGTGGCACATCGCTGTAATCCCAGCAGCTCTGGAGGCTGAGGCAGGAAATTCACAAGTTCAAAGCCAGCCTCAGCATCTTAACGAGGCCCTATGCAACTTAGCAAGACTCTGTCTTTAAATAAATATAGAAAAGGGCTGAGGATGTGGCTCAGTGGTCAAGTGCCCCTGGGCTCAGTCTTTGGTACCCCCAAAAACTAACAAACAAAAAAACCCAAAATGGAATCATCTCTTTCTTGGTTTTACATTCTGGTGTTGGGAGAAAAGCAGTAAATAGTTATTTAAATTATGTATGGTTATGTCAGAAAGTAGAAAGTGCTGTGGAGAATGATAAACAAGAGTAGATAGAATTAGAGTAAGTAGTGGTGGGGCATTGCTATTTGACCTGGGGTGGCTATTGAAGAGCTGTTTGATAAGATGGTATTTCTGAAATGAGACCCAAGGGAAGTCCTGTGCATGTGGGTAAAAGGACCTCTGTTAATAGATATAGCTGAGGATAGAATGAGAGCTCAGTTATTTTTTCAGTCTTTTAGAGTGGGATGGTTCCATTGTCATCAACTTCTGTACTATTGTAAAGTATGCTCATCAGTCTAAATTTTAACAGTAATCTTTCTTTTCCTCCCATGTTTCTGTATTTTCTTTTACGTTTTGTGTGTGTGTGTGTGAGTGTGTGTGTTATACTGTGAATTGAACCCAGGGGTACGCTTCTACTGACCTACTTTCCAGCCGTTTTTATTTTTAAAAATTTTGAGATAGGGTCTTGCTAGTCGCCCAGGTGGCCTCCAACTTGTGACCCTCCTGCCTTAGGCTCCTGAATAGATAAGATTAGAGGCATGTGCCACTGGGCCTGGCTTCATTGTGTTGTTCTATAATTATATTACCATGTGTCTATGTTATTATTTTTTAAAGGAGTCACAGTGTTTCATAAAGCTGAGGATTTATGTTTTTATCAATGTTAAAAGATTCTCAGTTATTACTCCTTTCAATAATGTCTCTCTCACATTTCTCCCTTCTTTCCTTCCAGAACTTCTTTTATCTTCTGTCTATAGAAGGTCAAGATAGGAATTTTATAAGTGGTTATAAATAATTAGATGATAATAAATGTTAATTGGGGAACTAATGCAGAGTAAAGGATATTAGTGATGGATGATTACAACATTTTATATTGGGTGGTCAGCAAAAGTTTCTGATGTAACATTTGTTGACATCTGTAGAAAGTGATAGAGTGAGTGATTTATCTAGATGAAGGGAAAGCACCCAGACAAGAAGGTAACAAATGTAGAAGACTAAAGATTGGCAGTTCTGAGAATACCAGGTAGGCCTATATAGTGAAACTGAATCAAAGGAGTTATGCTAGGAGAGATGTCAGAAAAGTTGTGGGGATGAGCATATTGATATTTATTTACTCTAAGTGTAACCAGAAGCCATTGTGTAGTGACCTAACTCTAAGATTTAAAATGCCCACTCTAGCTATATGGTACTGAGTGGAGTGTAGGAAGTAGGACATGGATGAAAGCAAGGAAACTGATTTGAGGGTTCTTGTTGCAGTTCCAGTGAGTGTTGGAGGCTCTTCCTCCCTGTGTTTAGTAATGTCTGCTGTATGCCCTGCAGTATGCTAAATTTTGGGAGTACATGAATTAACATTAGTCCTTTGCAGTCTTGTTAGGAAAAAATTACATTGTATTATCATAGTTCTATATTGGAAAACTATATTTATGTTAGCAAGCAGTGTGTTCTGCCTGTGAATGTCAGAAAAACTTCAGAGTAATCCATTTTTCCCTTTAATTTTTTATTTTATTTACTTATTTAAATTTTTAAAAATATTTATGTGTGTGTGTGTGTGTGAGTGTTGTTTTAGTTGTAGTTGGACACAATACCTTTGTTTTATTTGTTTATGAGGTGCTGAGGATCGAACCCAGGGCTTTGCACACACTAGGCAAGTGCTCTACCACTGAGCCACGACCCCAGCCCTTTAATTTTTTAAATTAATTATCCATGTTATTATTTTTATATGAGTCACATATACTCTGGATTCTTTGGTTATACTCTTTGCCAGTTTTACTTTTCTTTCCAGGTGTTAGAATTTTTCTAGCAGCATAGCCATACTTATAGACTCTGTCTATCTAGTCCATTACATATGTATATGTAATTAATATTGTTATATTTGTGCCAAATATCCTTCAGTTTGTTTGCTTTTTAATTTTAAGATTTTTATTCTTATAATTTGTTGTGTTAGGGATATTTCATGTCTATTATAAATTTGTTATGAAAACTACTGATTTTATACTTGCATAGTACCTGATTTCATAAGGAGATTTATGAATTATAGTATTCAATTCTTTCTTCAATTTCTTTGTTTTTTGATATTTATAAATAATTTGTTTTTCATTTTGATATATATTGCAATGTGAATATATACATGAATTTCTTACCTGTTACACCAAGTTTTCTCAGCATTATTATTTTGGTAATCCACAATTTCATCATTTTTTGGTGCCTCGTTTAACATTTCATTAAGTTACTATATATACATTAGGAAAATAATTAAAATTCATGAGAAGAGATAGAAATAAAAATTGTGGTGTAGTGATTAGAACAGAAATAAAGGGATTAGTAAGGAGAATGATGTTCAATACTCCAAGATCTAGTATTCAAGAGAGACTTGAAAGAGGAAGGGACAATAGTCAACAGAATTGAATATCTTGGTAATTTTACAGTAAGGTACATGGAAATGGTCCATTGGTTTCAGCAATTAGAAGTTATGTAATAGAGGAGTTTAAAAAAGATTAACAAATGGAAGATGAGATTGCAGTTTCAGAGAAGTAAAGATAGAGAAAGTGAAAACACATTCTTATAGACTGTTAGAAACACATGAATGTTTTGAAAGCTATAAAGCAATATGTATATGTGACTATTTTCAATATGTTTTCACAGAATTCAGAAGTATCTGTGTTTGAAGTTAACATTCGATTTATTGGAGGCCTGCTTGCAGCATATTACCTTTCAGGAGAAGAGGTGAGTAAAGTTAAGTAATAAATACATTGTTTTGTGGGGAGGGGTTATGAATGGAATTTAATCAAATGAAAGACTTCCCTAGCAGCATGTTGTTTTTTGAACTTGAATATTATTGAACTCATCTAAAGGTTTGCCAAAAGAACTAGATGCTTCAGGTGGAAATGTTCCTTAGAATGATAATTTTTCTGTTTTTGAGAATCTCAGTAAAATATAATTTTATCACAGATTCTAGCTTTATTTAGATCAAGTGTCCTTTACAAAAGTCATCTTTCTCTAGGATTTTGCCATTATAATTAATTGCATGGTTCAACAATTGGGAAAAGAAACCAAGAACAAAATTAAGGAATAAATCAGGAAGAATTTAATACAGATGCTCCTAATACCAAATATTAATTATTAAAACTTATTGTTTGGAAATTAAATGCAAATTTATTCATAAGATATTTTTAAATTTAAGAAAATTCATCTTTGGTTACGTATGTATATTGTAAAGACATATTTCTATTTATGTTGTCTTTGGGGTTGCTTGTTAATTTTTGCTGTGAACTTTAGTTATTTTTAGAATTTTTTCCCTCCGGTGTGGCTTCTAGATTTTGATTCTTAAAAAACTTTCCCTGTATCTTGAGTTATAAAATAAAATTTCCCATTTTGACTTTATATGCTTATATTTAAATATTTGTCTCTGTGTGCTTGTGAGTGAGCTATTCATGTACTGCTGTTTTTTAAGAAGAAATGTGTTTGAAGATGCTGGTATTTAGTATTTAATATATAAATCATTTAGTATGTAATTTTACTGTAAAATTTTATTATGCAACTTGGATATACCTCCAATTTACATTTCCTTAGAACACTTCAGTTCAGATTTAATAGAATAGAAAAAAGTGACTTGTACTTGGTCCAAGAAGTTTTCAAAGTGTGTATTAGAATCACATAGGGTGGTTTTTATGAATGAAGGTCCAAGCTCTGTCCACAGGACTGATGTAGTGGTTTTAGTATAGAGAACACAATTATGTTTTTTTGGGTAAGTATTCTTTGATAAATGTGATTTTGCAAATGGTGGTTCTGTATTTTGTGAACCTCTGATCTAGCTTATGAATAAAATCATTGTAAATTAATTAACTAGGATTTCGAAATCAGTTTTATCAAGGTACATTCACATACAGTTAAAGTTACCTATTTTAGAATATAATCTGTGAGCTTCGACAGTGTATATGGTTGTAACCACCAACAAAAATAAGATACAGAATTTGATCTTAGAAAATTTCCCTATAACATTTTATAGTAACTTTACCATTTACTGTCAGCCTCTTTTATAAGATTTTTTTACTATTTCCATATGGTGTTTATTATGGCTTTATGGAAAATCTTGAAATCAGGGTGTATGTGTTCTTTTAACTATTGTTTTGTCTATTTTAGTTACTTTAGCTTTTTATATAAACTTTAGAATCAGCTTGCTGTTAAAGATCCTCCTATTGTTTTTATAGGAATTATAACTTTAGAGACAATAAACATCTTAACAACATTGAGTGTTCTAATCCATGAATATGGTATATCTTTTCGTTTGGTTATTTAAAAATTTTTCTCCATTGGTGTTTCTAATTTTTAGCATATAAATGGACCTTGCACATATTTTGATATTTAACTGAATGTTTCTAATAATAGTGTATATTTTCAGTTTCCATTTGTTTATTATAAATGTATATAAATCCTATTTATTTTAAACATCTTTTAATAAAGACTTAAATTATTAACTGTTTCAGGACATCTTAGTTCTCTTTAGATAACTTTCTGATGCTATATCATTGTTGAAAAATTGTGGTAGATGTGTATTAAACAAGATTTGCCCTTTTTAAGTGTACAGTTGCACTTAAAAAAAAATTCAGATTGTTGTTTAATATATAATGAGTTTTACATTGACCTTGTACCCTGAGATTTTTCTAACTTCATTAATTTTAATAGCTTTTACATAGATTTTAATGGATTCTTAGGAATTTTCATTGTAAATAATTAAATCATTAGTAAAGAGGTGAGTTTATTTTTCCACAGAGAAGAATTTTCTTTGCTTTGCTTTAGTGCATTACCTAGGACTTCCATTACAAAGTTGAATAGGAGTTGTGAGAGTGAGCATCCTTGCCTGGTTCCTGAATCAGGGGAAAAGCATTTAGTCTTTCACTATTAAGCATAATGTTTGCTATAAGTATTTTGTAGATACCCTTTATCATCTTCTGGAAGTTTCATTATATTCTTAATTTACTGATAATTCTTATCATGAATGGATGTTGGATGTTATAAAAAATGGCTATAATAAAATAATTATATAATAGTTCTTTTTCCAGTCTATTGATATGGTGAATTATATTGGTTACTTTTTAAATATCAAACCAGTCTTGCATTGTTTTGCTAAAAAAAAACCCTACTTGGTTATGGTATATTATTTTTATATATCACTGGATTTGGTTTAATACTACATTGTTGAGAATTTTTTGCATCTGTGTTCATGTGGATATCTGTAATCTTTTAATACCTTTGTGTGTGTGTTTGCAGTAGATATGTGGAAGCTAATAAACAATAAGGGGAAAGGGGAAGAATGGAGTTAAGTAGATTAGACAAAGGGGAATGAAGAGAAGGATGGGATAGAAAAAGGAAAGACAGTGGAATGAAGCTGACATTATTTTCTTATGTAAAATATGAATACACCACAGTGAATCTCACATTGTATACATCCACAAAAATGGGGTCCTATAGAATAAGACATATTTCATGTTTATATAATTATATCAAAATGGATTCTATTATCATGTATAACTAAAAAGAATCAATTTAAACAATAAGAAATAAAGAAAAAGAATGTAAAAGTAACAAACTTCCTGTGGTAGGGGAAGAGTAACACTGCCCTTAAAATGAATTGCCAAGTGTTTGCTCTTTTATCTCTAGAAGTTTGTATATAATTGGCATTATGTTTTTCCTTAAATGTTTGAGTTGTGTGATACAACTTCCCAGTGAGGCAACTTGGGAGTTGTTTTTCTAAACTACCAGGAATTGAACCTTATGTACATACATAATTGAGTACATTGTTGTTATTATTTTTAAGTATTATCTGTAGAGCAAGAAAAATAAAAGTTTTTAATTTTACTGATTTATTTTCTGATTCTCTCCTTTATGTAGATCCAAATTTCTGACCTATATAATCTTATTTCTGAAGATTATTTTAACATTTATACCAAAGCAGCCTTCTGGCAACGTATTATCTTTCTTTTCTTTACTAGAGAAAGTGCTAAAGTAAATAAAACAGAAAAATAATTTGAATATGACATTTTTCTGATATTTAATGGGCAATAAATTCCTTTATTTCAGTATGAACCAGAAAATTACTTGTGATTTATAATCTAACAAAGTGCTTTCTTGTAGTAAGGAAATATGTAACTATAAATAAAAACATGTTACATGCACTCTGTTCTCTGGTATAAGGAACCAAGTGAGAGTTACATGCCATTCTAACAAAGTGTTCCTCTCTCCTATTGATTTATTAATATTATAGATGTGAAGTTTTATCATTTTATTTTCTCAAAAAGCACTAGTTATATTAAATATTCACAGGTTAAAAACCTTGATGATTTAGTATTTTACTTGATGCCAGCTTCAAATTTATGGCATTTCTTTAACAGGATTGTCTCTGTTCATGTTTTATAATAGTTATCAAAATGGTGTTCCTTCCTACGATAACATGATTTATGTGGATAACAGTACCAGAAATCTGTCAGATAAAATATAGAAGTTGTTATGTGGAGTTTAATATATAATCACAGATAATAAAAACAAAAGAAACAACAGCAGTAAAATCTTTCTTTACCAAAATGCAAATGTACTATGTTGCTTGTAGGTAAGATCATTCAGGGATATTATCCCTGAACTATGTAAGTTTTTAACTTAAAGTCCTCTTAGTGAAGTTATGAATAAAGAAAACAATTTTAGACTGCTAATTTTTTCAGTCTTAATACCAGAAATTATTGCCCTTTTTGGCATTAATTCTCAGTTTAATTTTGGAAAGCCTGATTTCACTCCAGAAATTAATATTCCCATTGAAAATTTGACCTCTTAATTTTTTTTGCAGGTGTTCTGGTAGTTAGGCAAAACATTTCACTAAGTTCTGGTGACGTAGAAAATATTTTAAAATTTATTCTCTTAACATTTTTTCTTAAATGTGTGAGGTCCTACTACTTTTGTACATATTTATGTTTAAAGTCAAAATGTCTTCCCCAAGTCATAGTTGATGGTTTTGGTTATTATTACTGATGTGATGAATTTATCGCTACCATGGAAGTAGAAATTTGAGGGTAAAATGTGGGATAGAAGAGTACCACAGAAAAGAAGCCCCAAGTGCTGCATATAACTGCCCATTTATTTGGCTAACCCTGTACTATGTGTGAGTGGGAGAAACACTGAGCATCCTAGCCATCATTAAAGGAACTGAACACCTATTGCAGCTTCTTCCTGCTGTAAGGAGAGACATTTGGATTTTGAGTTAGAGTGCCTCATAAAACAAAAAATGGTGTAAGAGAATATAACAGAATCAATAGTCTCTGAAGAATATCAATCACAGTGACCAATACAATTCAAAATTACTCAATGTATGAAAAAAACAAGGGACAATGTGGCCCATACATTTTTAAAAAGTCAATGGTAACCTGTCTTGAAGTAACCCAGATATTGAATTGGCTGAAAAGGATTTTATATCAGCTTCTACAAAGTATTTTTGAAATGACTGTATAGATGAAAAATCTAAGCAGAAATGAAGTCTGTGACAAAGAATAACATTGGAAATTTTAGAAATGAAAATTCAGTATCCGAAATAAAAGATTTATTGTTTAATAACATCATTGGAAATGGTAATAGTAAACTTGAAGATAGATTTAAATTATTTAGTGTGAAGAGAACGAAATCGTTAAAAAAGTGAACATAGCTTTAGAAACTTGTGAGACAATATTTAAAAAGTCTAGCAT